TCTATGAAAAATTTAGATTATTTCTTACTTAGTATACGATATGTATACAAATATCTGGCTCAATACACAATTCTTTTTCTTTTTCGTCGTACAATCGAATGCGTAACAAAAACCTATGTTTCAATCAATATTATGTCTGCTTCTGAGAACGTTCTAAACCTTGAGAACAACGTATACACAAATCGATGAAAGAGTTTAACTTTCACGTGACACATTATTCTTTACAAGTATTTCAAATTTCTAGATCTATTTTATTATTTATTTCAGATAAATGTAATTAAATAACAGCATAAGTATTTATCTCTCATAAATCGTTAGATAAATTATTCTATTTATTTTTAAGCAAGAAGCATTTTCTTTTCCCAGCCTATATCAATTTATTATATTTTTTTCCAATTATTTAATCGATCAAACAGTTACATTTATTAAGCTGTAATGTATAAAATATTTGTCTTTTTCAATTTAAATAAATTTTTACTTTTTATCAGAGAAGAATTTATTAATTAAAATACTTACCATTGAAATATTATTTTTAAAAAAATATTCATTTAAAGTTTATATATTTCATTTCGTTTTTAAAATTAATATCGCTAAAAAATTTTGAAATAATATATAATTTTATTAAAAAAGTTTATATTTTTTGAACAAAAATTAAAATTGCTAAAGTTTAATTTAATTATTTGTTCTTTTGAACAGAAAAAAGAAAAAAACAAAAATCAACATGAGTCGTTATTGTTACGTATTCCTTCATTTCATATAATACAACTTGATTTCACTGAAACTGTCACAGAATCATCGACATTTTCCCCAACGGAACACTTAATTACACGCATCTTTTCATCGACAATTACATACAACGCATACAACGTTTAGAGCAAGGCATAAATATCTCCGTCACGGAAACGTCATGCAGAGTTTCGTTACATAAAAGCGTTAGCCATGCAACATTCGTAACTGCGCTACTTGAACAGCTGAGTTTATTTGCTACAGAAACGGTCCGGTTTATAAATGAACCGCGCGTTTTATTAATAGCCGTTGCTTTCTCTCCACCCACGGAAAATGTTTTCTCCAAGTTTTTGCCCGTTTTATATCGCGTTTCTTGTCGATTTGAATAAAAACTCGAATAAGAAGATCTTTAAATTAAATTCCTATCTCGAATACGATGCGAAGTTTCGAGAGGAAATTTATGGAATAATAGAATATCACCACGAAGTGATTCGACTTTATCAGCGATCCTTCGTCCAATAACTTTATAACGAATTTATTATTTTTTTCACCTATGGCTCTTTCATAATTTCTTACAATGCGAATACATTTGAGAGTAAAACTCTCTAAAATATTTTTCGTAAATGGACACTGCATTGAAGTGATTGTCCGATAGTGACTTTCACTCTCAAAATAGTTAGTGACAATAAATGTCGAAAGTAGTTCTTAAATGAATTTGTACTTTTTTATTCAATTAGCCTTTATTCAATTAATTTTTATCGCTATCGGTCATTCGATGTTTCTTCACGCAACAATGATGAAAATTTAATAATTATTTTGATTAGAATTTGATCTTATATATGATAGAAATTCTTGATTTGTATCTAATTTTAATATTTAATAATATTTGGAATCTTATGCGTGTAAATTTTTCTTTTTTTTTTTTAGAAGCAAATCTAGAATTGAACTATAAAATGTTTTCGATTCATAGTTTTTCTTTTAATAAAAATTACTCTCTCTTAAATAGAAGTAATTTCATTAAAAGAAAAATTCTTGAAAAATATATAAAATTATAGAATTATACAAATTTATAAGAGAAAAATTGAATAGATTAAACTATTTGTTCATGTACAAGAGAATATTAGAATTAATATTAGAATTAATATTAGAAGAAAAGAATGCATGAATTTTATTTGATGGATATATATATATCCATCAATAAGGAAAATAATTAGAGAAAATTAACTGCTTAATCTTAAAGCAAATTAAATATTAAATTTTTAAATATTTCTTATCTCTGTAAAAGTAATCTTTCAATTTTTTCTTTTTTTCCATTAAAGAACTAATATATGTTAATAAATAAAATTAAAAAAAAAAGAATAATTATGAAAAATGTTATTTAACTTTTCAAAAATTCTAAGAAGCAGACTACAGATTTTTATAAATATAATTAATTTTATAAATAAATGAAATTTAAATAGAAATTCCTTTCATTCATTGAATGATCTTATAATAATCCAATGCATACTATGAATTTTATACATTTCCAATCAAATATAAATTTTCATAAATGTACAAGCAATTCTATATTTTATTCACAATATTATTATTCCTCAAACAAAAAGTTAAAAAAGTTAGAATAAAAAAATAGACAAAATAAACCTATCACTCGTTGTTGATTAAAAATTAGAAAGAGAGAGAGCGGAAAGAATTCCGATCGAATGGCTGAGTAGAGGAGGAAGCGCGTTATTAAAAAAAAAAGCGTATAACCATGGCGATCGGAACCCCATCCTCGAGTTCTCAGTTTCACATTGGGCATTCTACTGGCGCGCAGATAGACGCGGCGTCGCATTCCGTAGAGGCATCTCCGTTAATTGACCTAGTATTCTCTTATTATTTTGCGTCCTGTTTTTATCATTCTTCTTTCATACACTTTTTTTTTCGATCGATATCAATGTAATCACATTAACGTGATCGCAAGCAAATCGTTCGTCCCCCGATTATATATTTATACGTTACTTTTTTTCTTTTTTTCTTTTTTTTTATCTCAACTGGCTAAGATACTTGTTTTGAGCTTGATCTTACCACGTAGATACATGTAATGTAGGCAACGATCAGTTTCCGTCGGGAACGCTCTCACGAAACGACGGAGAGGAGAGGAACGCGCGAGCTCTCCGCGTTTCGTCGATTTTTCTTTCGAGAGCGTTTCGCGGAAAAAGAAGAAAAAGCAAAAAAAAAGAGAGATAAACAGAGCGTCGCCGCGATTTAATCAATTATATCGATTCATGTCGAATGGAAACGTCGTCGAAAGGGAATTTCTAACCTCGAAGAGAAAGTTAGATCGACGTATTTGCTAGTGAAGATAGCATTCCTATCGAGAATCTTCGTTAAGCTGAGCTTCGATTTCTTTGAACTGTACTTCATGCTTCTTTCTTCGCGTTTTATCGAATTAAAGAAAATTTTTTTTAATAATAAATTAAAAGTTTGTACATGTATATATGTAATATACGTATAATTGATTATTTAAATTGAAATTGTATAGAAAAAGGAAATTTACGCGATTTCTTTATAGGTGATATGAATAGTTTAAAGAAGCGATAAATCTATGTTTTTTAATTTTCTGTCTGGTTTCTTAATTTCTTTTCTCTTTTTATTAGATTCTTGATTAACACGCGTGAATACACATTCGGATTGAATTGAACACGTTTAATGATAAAAGATAATTCCGTTGACAAAAATTTTTAGTTTTTTCGAAGTTTATTATTGTGGCTGACTGCTCATTCATTTTAGAGAGAAATTTATTTTATTATACTTGGCTGAAATCATGCTTAGTTGAAAATTCGTTTTCCATTTAGTAAGAATGATAAACAGTTTCAATTGAAATGATAAATTGATGCTTATATATGAAATGTCATTTCTTCAGAGTAACATATTAGTTTCTTTTTTATCATTGTATTTAAATTTAAAATAAAAAATTGGAAATACGTATAGAAACATTTGAAGAAAATATTTTTACAAATTATTTATTATCCTTTATTTTCATCAGATAACATTTTAATAACTAATAATTATTAGAACTGACATTTTACAAATCACTTTGAAAAAAAATTAAAATTCTACCAATTATTTAATTATTCTATTTGACATAAAATTCGATATAAAAATAAAGAAGAAAAAAAATGACATTTTATATATATCAATCTAATAGATGAATTGAAGATAGAGTGAAGATGAAGTTTTCAAACGTCAACGGTAAAAAAAAAAAAGGAATTCCTTCCTTTAATCTTCGATCGTTTGTTTATCGAACATTCGTTGACAAGAATTCTTATTTTATAAATAATTTTCCTAAAATTTACCCCACATTTTGGAAATCCGGATCGATCACACGTTTGTCGTCGTGGACGTCGTGGTAGCACTTTTCGGAACAAAGAATCTCAGTCTCAGCCCCCGAAGAGGACTCCGAGAGAACGGTGGCGGATGCAAGAAACGATCTCGAATACCGTGAGATGAAAAGCGATGCTCTAGGAATGGGGCGCGTGTTGTAAAACGCTCGCGCGCAAAAGGAAAGCGTTTCCCCTCTTGTTTTCGTAGGCGTTTGGCGTTTAATCGTCGTC